CCATAAAGCACTGATTTCTCAGTGGCTCTAGGCTCCTGAGCTGCTCATGCCCCCTCTGGAGAAAGGGCATATCGAAGGGTGCTGGTCCCCACTCAGGATAATGGGTCCAGTCCTGTCCCCTCTTCTGACCTGAAAAGGAGCTCAGAAACTGCAAATCATTTTATGAAAGTACACAAGTGGTTCTAGCAGGAATCCACCCAGGCGAACTACAATAGCAAGGATATTCCTTCCCTAGGAAGCTAGCCAGGGACAAAAGGCGGCATTCTGTCCCACACTTGCTAACTGCAGTCCCCCGGAGAGCAGGCCTTTGTCCACAGCCCCAGCACGAACAGCGGCTTGCCTGCATCTTGGCTAATTTAAAAGAACAGTCATTTCTACTTTGCTACATCTTCCCATTTATCTTTCTTAAGGACAACTTATTTGAAAATGAAAAATCTAGAATAAACATTTCTTCTACATGAAAAATCACCCAGCTCTGCCCTAGTTAATCACCTCCTCCCCCAAAACATACACTTTTAAACCATTCCCAGAAAAGAGACTCTTCGTTAAAATGACTAAGTCTTGTATATGAAGAAACTAGAAGGAGATTAGAATCTTCACTCTAAAAAGAAGATAGGTATAGAGGAGAAAGAGATAGGAAATAACATAAATTTATAAAATTTGGTGTGGGGTGGAGTGGGAGGGAAATTCCCAAAGCTTTAAGAAGTAGCCGCAGGAAAATGACAAAGAGTGAAAAAAGAAAGTAGCTTTCATAGATTGGAGAAGGGGTTACAAAAGTAAAAGCATGGTGATCACAATAGCAATTGTAGGAGTGTTGGGGGTACTTTGGCCAGTCCTTTGAGGTAATGGGATGGGTGGGCAACCATCTGTCAGATTCTTAATTGGTCTTAATGTCTGAGATTCAACATGAAATGCCCCTCACTCTTGTTCCTCTCAATATGGCAATTTTATGACCAGGAGTGACAGATTAATAAAAACAAAAACAAAAACAAAAAAACCCTTCCTATTTGCTAAGGAACCTTCCCCTTCAGCCTATCACAGGCAGAGAGGAGCTTAAACATGTTAAACAAGTAGGGACATTGGTCCACCCCTGGTTTCTTGTTGTGGAAAAGGTGGAACCCACAGAGAGACGGTGGTCAGTTTGAGGTCACGCTGCTCTTTGAACAGTGTGGGCCATGCTCCCCTCCTGGGGATTTGGGAGGGGGGGCGTTAATTTGGGAGTCTCCTACTGGAGACTGTTACCATTTATTCACATTTTAGTACAATGATTTCATCAAATTTTCATGGGGGTAAAAATGTGGCAAAAACCAAATGGGGGGCACTAAGCAGGGAAAGCAGCCCAGAAGGTAAATTCTACTACACAATTATTCCCTAGAGCTATTTCCTCCATTTAAAAAAAAAAGTTGGTTTTATCTAGGGTAAGGTATACTAGGTATGCAGAGGAAAATTCCAGAGCGGCACACCACGAACTAGTCAGGAGCAACTAAGGTGCAGGAGGAAGGTGGAGCCGCTGTGGGGTTTCTGCTTTCCAACTGGGAGGGAGTGGTTTCTTTCAGACACAGCAGAAGAGAGTCAATTACATTAGGCTACAGAGAGGGACCTCATGATTATACAAAACAGTTATAATCAAAGAGTTTCAAGATGATCCTGTTTTAAGTTGCTGTGAGGAAAAAAATGTGAGGAGAGAAGAGGGCTAGAAAACAAGGAAAAAGTGGGGAAAAAAGAAATATAAAAGTCCCCTGTCTAACGGTCAGGATTAAAGAGAGAGAAACTGTGGAGAACGAGATCCCTACATCACCAGCTCTGTGGATCTCTCCCGATTTTCTTATCCCATCCAAACATAGAGTTCAACGGGGTGGGTCTAGGGCTCTTGAGGCCCCAGCAGGGGAGGAGCCTGTGCCCCGGACCCCCTGCTGAGGGGAAAGAACCACCGAACAGCCCCGGGTTGCCCAGCCTGCACAGTCCCCTCCATTCCATGCACAGAGGAGCTACCGGTAGCCTAGCAACCAGGGACGGGTCCTTTCACACTGCATTATGTGCTGCAGTACAAAGCGCACAGAGTGCCAGGAGGACACAGAGTACAAACTGGACAGAACTGAATTTTGGATTCATTCTCTACCCCTCATTCTCCTGCCGCAACCTGCAGCCCCATTTGCCCCACTTGTTATGCTTCAGCCGAGAGCCTCCTCTCCCGCAGGGCCAAGGCGCGACGCGGTCCCAGGTTGCTCTCTTATGTCTGGGCCCTGGGAAAGGCAGGTGAAGATGGGTAGCAAGTCTCCAATGGAAAGAAGAAAGGCATTTGAAGACGCACAGAGGGAAACCTGGGACCAGAGCTCCCAACAGGAGAACTGCTGCAGGGATGAGACTCAGTGACCACCCACCCTTGCGATGTCACAGTGGGTCCCTAAAAGTTCGGCATCTTCACTTTTGTTCATTAGGCTGATAAATCTGACTTTGTCAGGTGGGTCCTACATGATGTAAAATATTTTACTACATGATGTAACATAGAATCTCTACTTCTTTCCATGCCCAAGAGGCATTATGTACACAAGAGGATTGTAGGGAAGGAACATCAAAGTTAGGAAGGCCACACTGAATCCCACTTTATCTACAACTCTCTTGCCTCGCTCGATTGTCTTCAGCCCCCTCCAGTCACTAGGCTCCAGCTGACTCGGATTTGCAAGGCCGTTGCGGCATGGACTCCCATCAGCCAGGTTGGAGAGGGCAACTGAGGCTGAGAAATGGTTGGACGGGGCTGTGCTGGCCCAGGAAGACGGACACAGGGAGCCACTTGGACCTTGAGGTCAAAGGCCTCTATAAACATGTTCTCAGAGCTTTGGTGCCCATAGAGGCAAGTGGGAACGCCTCACCTTCCCCCAACGAGTCCCCATGCCATCCCTTGAAACCAAGGGCAAAGTCAGAAAGTAAGAATCTGTGATGCACCCAGGAGGGACACTTCATTTATCCCCCCAGATTCAGACATAGGAACAAAGAGCAACCTTCAGAACACCTCAGCAAGTCCTTGGAAAGGAGTGTACCCTGGAGTCACCAAGAGCCACTCCTTCACATCTCGCTGCCAGGAGGCAGGGAGAGCCCAGCTAGGCAGAAGCCACCGGTGACCCCAATTGCTCCTTAGTGGACATGACTCAAGGCACAAAGGCCGACATTCATGAGTGAGATGCAATGGCTTAGACAATACTAAAACAGGCCACTCCAGAGTCTATGTTTAGCTTTAGAATTCATCACTGGATTATCTTAAAAGGTTTGGACTTTTGTAAAAGAAAAAGCTGAGTTATTGAAGTAAGGGGAGGGGGTATGCTTGCTGAGCACAGCGAGTGAGTCTGCAGTGGGAGAGAGCCAATTTCTGAAACATGGCAGGGAGTGAATTTTAAAGAGCTGCTGTGATTTGCACACTGTATAATTCTCGGGCACATTTCTTCATGCTGTGGTCAGGTCAAACTGGTCTGTGGGAACAGTGTCCCCTAATGCTTTGCAGTGCACGACCTGCCCAAAAGCACATGTGAGGCTTCCAGGAGGGAGGTGGACGCATCACTTACAAAGCCCTGGCCAGATCCTGACGTGGTAGCCCTGCTGGCCTAGGACTATGTATTTGCTCCAGGGAAACGATAGCTCAGTCATAGCATGGGCTTATGAGGGGGGAAAATAATACCCATCTCCATCCCAACAAACTTTGGGATGACGGCTCGAGTGACCAAGCAGTTCTACTAGAGCTCCCTCCTGCACCGTCCAACCTCTGGTCTCAAGGAAAGACGCGCCAATACCCTGGGGCAGGCACAGGCACACGAAGAGCGACAGGCCTAAATATCCCCAAAGAGGGATGCTGCTCTCAGAATAACGAAGACGATGGCGGCTCCTCAGAGGCAAGCACCTGAAGTCCTAACTCATGCCGTGATTTCTAAAAATCAGTATCGTTCTCTATACTCCCTGTGCTAGGCTTCCACACCTCCCTTAAATGTTTCTGTTTTGCTTAAAGTGATGAAATGGGTTTCTGTGGCTTATAACCAAGCAATTCCTGACAGTTGCTAATTTCTTTTACAAAATTGTCTGTCTTCCTCTTCATATTATAATTTTAAAAACTAATTTTAATTTTATAAGGAAAGAAAGCTATTAATATGTGATGTTGTAAATGAAGAAACTAAGTATGACAAATCAGAATTCTCTTTAATTACAGTTTTCAAAACTCAAATAAAGCCAACATACACGCTCGAAAAATGGTGTGGGGCACAGAGGGAAGAAGTGAAAAGCATCTTTTCTCTTAGCTCAGAAGGAAAACATTGTTTCGAAGCGCTGACCATTTAGAAGCGCTGAATGTCAGCCCCACGGGAAAGTAAGGTACTACCACAGCTGACGCTTCCACATTAGCCACTGAACAAGGGGGTGGCTGTGGAGAAGAAGGGAAAGACTCAGAAAACCTCAGGGTGCCTTCAGTCCTACGCCGAATATAAACAGAGGTTCACAATTCCTCCCCTGTCATTCAAGCCTCCAAAAATCTCTGAAAATTGGAATTTTTAAAATAGCTCATTTGGCTGGCAAAGAAACCTGACCTCATTTGGTGGCAAAACATGACCTAACTACATAAAATCACTTGTTGTCTATTTATCCCATTTTGGGTAAATATTCTTACATTTCACTGCTGAAATGCTGAGTTTGATTATGGGGTAGTGAACCTATATCCCTTTGGGAGTGAGATACACCCCCGCCCCCCCATATTTCATGTCCTTAAAAATTCTGAATTTTAAAACACATCTGGCCCTAAGAGTTTCATATAATGGGGAAAAGGCTGTAGACCTACTTGGGAGGAGGTTAAGCCTCCCTCAAAGTTTACTAAAGGCCGAAAACAGTCGAATTACCTCCTGGTTGTTTCAATCTGACCAGCTTCCTGCACAAGCCAGACCACAGTGTTATCTGGCAACGCTGTGTTAAAAATGGGAAATTCATTACATAGGGTCCTGATTACATGCTAAATCCTGGTTTCCTACCTTCACATACTCCAGAGTTGGGTCCAGAAGATGCTGATCCCTGAAAAGAGAAAATACAAATATGAGAACAATTGGGAACAATGTATGCTTGCAGTGAGTAAAGTGTATCCAACATTCTTTCACCCAAATTCAAATTATTAAGTAGGGCCCACCTCCCAGACAATACCCAGGAAGTTAGGACAGAGATTCCTTTCATGGTGTGTGTTGGGTGGGGTGGGGGGTAGGATACACCATGACGTCAATCTAGAAGCTCTACATACTTTACTGTTGCATTCAGGCTCCAAATGTTAGACTATTTATATGCGGTAATTCTAGATTCACTAGGGTATAAAAATCAGTCTTAAAGCCTGAAGCGAAGTACTTCAGGGAGGACAGAGGTGGGAGCACAGCAGGGCTGGGGGCCCAAATGTGCAGCAGTTTGGACCAGGCAGCTGCATTCCATCCAGTTTGACAGAAGTAAAGGAAGCCTCAGGTAGGCGAAGTGGTGGCCCAAGGTCGCCCAGCAGGGTGAGAGGAAGGAGCCTTGTACCCAGTTCTGCTTCTAAACCACATATTTCTCTTTTTTACTGCTGACTCGATTGCCCACCCACTCCTGGTGTCAAGCTGAGCAATTAACCCTAATTTCCTTCGGTGCCCAGTTATTGTTTCTTTCCCCATGTCCTGCCTACTGTATCTATCATACTAAAATGCTAGGACTGACCAGACAATTAAAAGTAAACAGCAGCCGTGGCGCTGAGGATGCTGACTTATTATAGAAAGCGGAAGAGGATCTGACTAAGGCAAAGGAAAGGATGGGGAGATGGGAAAGCTGATGTTCTCAGTGCTTGCACAGTTATAGCAAGGTGGCCCCCCAATAGAGGATGTGAAAAGACAGCTGCCTTCAGAGACTTAGGCTTCGAAACTCATTCCTGCACACGCATGATCGTTTTGAAGGGACACACGGCTCTGAAGCCTGTAAGACTAGTCTTTTTAAAGTGGAGTCTTCGCGTATCTCCACAAAGACCGCACCCAGCTGAAGGCAGGGGACACCCACAGCAGGTCTGGATGCCTCCCGGGCATGGAGCGACCCAGGGAACTGCAGCACTACTCCCTAGAACAGGAGCAGCAAAGCCACAGCTCAGAGCCATGACCAGCTTGCGGTGGAAGCGGCTCCAACTCCCAATGCCACCCCTGCCCTGGTGTGACTGGCCATGTGGGGTTGCGCACAGGGCACACGCGAGAGGCGGGCTCGCATCCGGCGGGCTCCTCTCGGCGCGCACGGGTTAGGTTCTGAAATGAGTCCCTTTATAGAGAACCAAAGGGTCTGAGAAGAGCTTCAGCTCACTGTCCCTGGGTGCCTTCCCATTAAAGAGGGGTGTAAATCAGTCTTTGGTGTTCCTTTATCAGGCCTGTTTTTTGTTGTTTTTGTGTTTTTTGAAAAAACATCAGGCGTATTTCCCCCGAAGCTGCTGAGCCTGTCTGCTGTGCCCAGCTCCCCTGTCACTCTGGACATCGTGCCCACGCCGTCAGGCTTTGTGTCTGTGGAACTGCCCAGCCAGGGACTAAGAACTTTGTCAGCAGCACTTTGGCCGTGTCACTTCCCTTCAAGTTCTTGAACCCTTGGTTTTCTACTGAATTAACATCTTAGGCCCACAGGCCATGCAGTCTTATGCTGATCGTCTGGCCCTGGGAGTGCTGAAAGCTGTCAGAACTGCCAAAGTGCTGTTTCTCACCTTCCTCAAGTTTCTATTTTTATATACATTTAAAAATGCACATGAGATGCATGAATACATTACATGTCCAAATGCATGGATAAACAGTAGAGGCGTGTGCTGTTCACATCAATGGTTCTCAAATGTTTCTGGTCTCAGGATTTCTCTATGCTCCAAATTACTGGGGACCCCAAAGAGCTTTTGTTCATGTGGATTATATCTACTGATTATTGATAACAAACTGAAACTGAGAAATTTTTTATTTATCAATTCCTATTTTAAAAAGAAAACCATTATGTTTGCATAAATAACATTTTTGTAAAAAACAGAATTTCAGTGATGAGAAGAGTAACATTGTCTCACATTTTTACAAATCTTTGTAAATGTCTGGCTTAGTAAAAGCTGAATTCTCATATTTATTTTTATACTCAAGTAGATATATCTTGGTTGAAATGAATGAAGAAAATCCATCCTCATACAGATATTTAATTGGAAAATCGGGGAGTTATTAATTTATTTATAGAGAGGGGGGGAAGGGAAGGAGAGAAACATCAATCAGTTGCCTCTTGTGCGTGCCCCGATTGGAGACTGAACCTGCAAGTGGGGAAGATTTTTAATAGACTTTTGAGGTCTTATGGATATTCTTCTTTGATCCTGTACCAAACATGACAAGGTGTGGCTTCTTAAAAATTGGTTGTAATGTGGAACCTGAAACCATATCTCTTGCTCTTTTGCATCTGTCTTGCACTTTGAATGGACCTTTTAATCCACGTGTGATTCTGTAAACCCTACTCTAGCCAAAACTGGTTCATTGAGTTATGCAGATCTTCTCGATTTTGAACGAATTCGTTATAATATTAAAAAAAAAGAACTACATGTTATCATCATTGATCTCATCAGAAGTAGTTATATTAAGTATTGGAAAGTGTTAAGCTCATGGTAGAGGGTACAAGTTTTCCAAAGTTCTAATTTTCACTTGAAAGCTTGAATTTTTTCATTGGCGGCTAACACTATTAAATATTTTTTTTGAGTTTCATTTCACTCATTTTGGGGGAAAATGCCTGCCAAATAGCAAGACCATATAGTCATAATTTGCAATTTTAACTCTCTTTTTATTAGGTACTCAAATGTCATTCTCTTGGTAAATTCTTTTTAGAATTTTGTCCAGGATGTGCTCTTCTCACCAGATTTAGCTATAAACTCCTTTTCCTTTCACATTTGAAAGCTCAAATGTCCCTCTCTCCCTTTCTCTAGAAATGTACCTGTAAACTCTCTCAGGGGAAACCCCTCAAACTCTTTAGGGAAGGCGGTGGGATAACTGACAGGGACCAGGCAAGGCACTGTGCTGGCTGCAGTTGGCAGGGTCCCCACTCACAGGCGGGGTGACCTCCAAGCAGGCCTGTGCTCTTCACGCCACCCTGCTCTCCCGCCCGGAGACCCTGGTATCCAGGAGCCTGGGTGTTCTCCCAAGTGCCCCTGCACCCTTGGATGACCTCCCCCATTCCTGTTTGATCTCCCATCACACACGCTGCCTTGGCAGAAGAGAAGGAAACCAAAGGCACTGCTTAGGGATGAACTGAAGTCCCCTTTTGCCCCTGCCCCGATACGAACTCCGCTAAGGGAGCCCTGTTCATTCTGTTAGGAGAGCGGGGGAGCGGGGGGGGGGGGCGGGGGGGGGAGGGGGGGGATCCGCAGGCTCTAGCGCTGTGGTTCGGGACTCCAAGGGTGCCCCAGGGGGTCCTCATAGTCTCCTCCTCATCCTTTATAGAGACACAAGGGAGGGAATATAAGGAGTGTAAATAAAATCAAGTGGGTGTGTTACAAATCCAAAAGCTTTAAAAATCATTGCCTTGAACCAAATTAAAATTATATTTAAACGCAGAAGTGTTGGGTCTCCTTTCTCAGATCGCTGCCCGATCCCAGCTAACCAGGAAGACATGAGCTAGAAAACACAGCAGTTGGCCCTGTAGCCCCGGCCTCTAATTTGAAATAGAATATCCAATTATTCATACAAGACTGCAGCAAACACTCCTTGAACCACAGATTTATATTCTCCAACAGAGATCACTAGAAAACAAACAGAGGAACTTGGCAATATAAATAAAAAGGGTTTAAAACATTTTTTAAAAATGAATCCCCACCCATGTGAATCTGTGATGCTGTGTGCGTCTCTCTTTACAGCTGGAGTCTGGCCGGCGCCCACAGCCCTCTGCCAGGCCCGCTGCCCTGTGCGCGGTCCACAGCCTGCAGGAACGTGGCGGGCGAAACCGGACTCCCCCGTCATTTCGTTCTTTAGTTTATTAAGTTTTAAATAACATCACTGTGTTTATTCCAGTTAAATCATTCTTTCCACTATCCCACTTTCTTAAGTTTGTATTGAGGGATGTCTAGTTGGGAGTCATGGAAATGATATACTTATTATTTTGGTTTGTTTCTCATCTGCGACCAGGTTAATAATTTCCTCTCTCTTAGAAGGACCCTTGATCTTTAAGTGTTTTTGCTGTTTTGAGCTAAGAGGCTCTCCATCTAGAATACCCAAGCAAAATTTTCACTAACAGGTCTTTTCTAAGTGGTTGGAATACAGATAAAGAAGGAAATATCCTATGTTTGTCTTAAAATGAATGAATGTTTGCATCTTTAAATGTTACAGAATAAAGTAACGGCTAACAGGTTGCCAAACTAATGTCCTTTTAGATATAATGTAAAAAGGAATCACCAGTAATAAAATGATTATTTTCATGTAATGGAGGAATGTGAGAAACCAGATGCATCTATTTCAGATTGTGTAGAATCAATGTTCCCTTTCAAATCCTTACACACTAGGAATTCCCAGAATTGGCACATGTGGCCTGGTGTTTGCATTCCAGGTCACTGCATTGTCTATTTATTCATACATGATCTCTCCCTCCACAAGGTGAGCAGCCCAAGAATGCTGACGTCTCTGTTTTATGCCCAGCACCTTCCATGGTTCTTACATGCATACCACAAATACTATCAAGCATCTACAACATGCCACACACTAGGCCAGACAGTGGAAACACAGGAGTCCAGGACAACTCCTGTTCTCAGAGAAATCTCAGGCAAGTGGGGGAGACAGAGCAAAACATCCAAACAACTCAAGCTGGAGAGAGGTGTCAGGGAGAGAAATGCCATGGGGCGGCCTTTCCACAACATCTGAGGTAAGTTTTGAGTGCTGAGTGCGGACCTGTCCCAGTGGAGAAGCTGTGGGGTAGGTGGTGATGAGGAATGCCCAGGCAGCAAGAGGTGTGTGCAAACACATGGGGGCGCAAGAGAGACAATATGGTACATCGGGGAACCATGAGTGCTCAGGAGTTTAAGTCCACCTTAG